GTACACGAGCTTCAACACCCCAAGCTGAAGTAGATTTGTTGGCCCTCAAGCAATCATAAAGATGAAGTGCTTTAATCTGGATTAACATCAAAGCGTCCATCAGAGCTAGAAATAGTTCAAAGAAGTATTCTAGTAAAAATACAGTTACTTCCAATAATCCTGAATGACTGAAGAAATGACAATGAGATCCACCTTTCTACAAGTTTCTTGGTGAAACTCCTCTTTGTTGGGTGCCTTGTGGAAATATAAATAACCGCCAAAAATTTCATCAGAACCTTCACCAGATAGAACCATTTTCACACCCAAGGACTTTATCTTCCGAGACATGAGAAACATTGGTGTACTGGCTCTGATAGTGGTCACATCATATGTTTCAACATGATAAATGACTTCATCTAGTGCATCAATTCCTTCCTGATGTAGCAATAGAAAGAAGTAGATAGCCAATTTGACTTAAGCAGTTATACTCCTATAAGGAAAATCAGCATAGGATGTCTTTATGAAGAAAGTTACCTGCACAGTAAAGTGAAACTCATGGTGACGAGTTCCAAGGTAGTCTGCCACCTCTCTGGCAGCTTTCAGATCAGGAGAACCCTAAAGTCAAACAAAAGACAACCTTAATTACAATGACAAAAGCAAAAGAGAAAACAATATAAAAGAAAACAAAACACTAAAAGTATAAAAAGATGGATAAATCACTCATCTCCGAACTGCTCAATCACACCAAGTGGCTTTTCAACAAATCTCTAACTTTATTTCTGTCATTTTGGACAATAACATACCTACTGCATAAAGAACACTAAACACTTTCAATTGCACTAAGGTCTGCCAAATTTGGCATCGATAAGAGGTGTTGGAAGAATTTAGCACAAGAAATATTAGTGAAGCTATTAGAGATTTCGAAAGGATGTAGGTTTAAATTTATTTAAGTGTCACATTATATCACAACAATACCTGCTTTTTATAAAAGTTTATTAGCAATGAACTGTGATCAGTTCGAATCATTTTGTAAAGTTATACACTTGCAAATTTCAAACTCCCGCATGAATACAAGATAGTAGCACTTTTTCAGGAGGACGTGATAGCAGAAATAAACAAAATATTAACAAACCTTGCAACTGGAGTTACATTGCATGTCTCGGAGAGTAAGACCAAAAGACAACAACAACAACAACAACAACAACAACAACAACAACAACAACAACAACAACAACAACGACC